AAGAGGTGAAATAACAACAGACCCCACCGAAATACAACGGATTGTTACAAAATACTACGAACAACTCTATTCCAACAAACTGAACAACCTGGACGAAATGGACATATTCCTAGAAAAATACAACCTTCCAAAACTCAATCAGGAAGAATCTAAAAATCTCAATAGACCAGTGACTTGGGAAGAAATTGAAACAGTCATCAAAAAGCTCCCAGCAAACAAAAGCCCAGGGCCTGATGGCTTCACAGGAGAGTTTTACCAAACATTCAAGGAAGAACTAAAACATATCCTCCTCAGACTATTCCAAAAAATCCAAGAGGAAGGAACACTTCCAAACTCCTTCTATGAAGCCAGCATCACCCTAATACCAAAACCAGATAAAGACAACTCAATGAAAGAGAATTACAGGCCAATATCCCTCATGAACATAGATGCCAAAATCCTCAACAAAATTCTAGCAAATAGATTCCAGATAAACATCACAAAGATCATACACCATGACCAAGTAGGATTTATTCCAGGAATGTAAGGATGGTACAATAACCGCAAATCAATAAACGTGATACATCACATAAACAAACTGAAAGATAAAAATCATATAGTCATATCAATTGATGCAGAAAAAGCATTTGATAAAATCCAGCACCCTTTCCTGATAAAAACTCTTAACAAGGTGGGAGTACAAGGATCATACCTCAACATAATAAAAGCTATATATGATAAACCCACAGCCATTATACTCAATGGGCAAAAACTAAAACCATTCCCTCTAAGAACAGGAACAAGACAGGGATACCCACTCTCGCCACTCCTGTTTGACATAGTTCTGGAAGTACTAGCCATTGCAATTAGACAAGAGGAGGAAATAAAAGGCATCCAAATTGGAAAAGAAGTAGTAAAGTTATCCTTATTTGCAGATGATATGATATTATACATAAAAAACCCAAAAGACTCCATTAAAAAACTAATTGACTTAATAAATGAATTTGGCAATGTAGCAGGATACAAAATTAATGTCAAGAAATCCACGGCATTTCTATACACCAACAGCGAAACTATAGAAACAGAGATTAAAAAAGCAATTCCATTTACCATCGCACCAAAAAAATTAAGATACCTAGGAATAAATTTAACTAAGGAAGTAAAGGACCTATATGCAGAAAACTACATGACACTGAAAAAAGAGATAGAGGAAGATGTAAAGAGATGGAAGAATATACCATGTTCATGGATCGGTAGAATCAACATCATCAAAATGTCCATACTTCCTAAAGCAATCTATAGGTTCAATGCACTCCCCATTAAAATACCAACGGCATATTTCACCGACCTAGAAAGAACTCTCCAAAAGTTCATTTGGAACAATAAAAGACCCCGAATAGCCACAGCAATCCTGAGAAAGAAGGGTAAAGTAGGAGGGATCTCAATACCAGACTTCAAACTGTATTACAAAGCCACTGTTCTCAAAACAGCCTGGTACTGGCACAAGAACAGACATATAGATCAATGGAATAGAATCGAGAACCCAGATATCAACCCAAATCACTATGCTCAATTAATATTTGACAAAGGAGGCACGAATATACAATGGAGTCAAGACAGTTTCTTCAATAAATGGTGTTGGGAAAATTGGGCAGACACATGCAAAAGAATGAAACTAGATCACCAACTTACACCATACACAAAAATAAACTCAAAATGGATACAGGACTTAAACATCAGACGGGAAACCATAAAAATACTAGAAGCATCCGCAGGCAGCAAAATCTCAGACGTATGCCAAAAGAACTTCTTCACTGATACTGCCCCTAGGGCAATGGAAGCTAAAGAGAAAATAAACAAATGGGACTGCATCAAAATAAAAAGTTTTTTCACAGCAAAAGAAACCATCAAGAAAACAACAAGAAAGCCCACGGTGTGGGAGAACATATTTGCAAATAATACCACTGATAAAGGTTTAAACTCCAAGATCTACAGACAGCTGATACAACTAAATAAAAGGAAGATGAATGATCCAATTAAAAAATGGGCAATGGACCTAAATAGAATATTTACAAAAGAAGACAGAAAGAAGGCCAAAAGGCACATGAAAACATGCTCAAAGTCACTAATTATCCGAGAGATGCAAATCAAAACAACAATGCGGTACCATCTCACACCTGTCAGAATGGCCAACATCAACAAATCAACAAACGACAAGTGTTGGCGAGGTTGCGGAGAAAAAGGAACCCTCGTGCACTGCTGGTGGGAATGCAGACTGGTGCAACCACTGTGGAGAACACTGTGGAGTTTCCTCAAAAAACTGAGAATGGAACTCCCATTTGACCCAGTAATCCCACTTCTAGGAATATATCCCAAGAAACTAGAAACACCAATCAGAAAGGATATATGCACCCCTATGTTCATAGCAGCACAATCTACAATAGCCAGAATCTGGAAACAGCCTATGTGCCCGTCAGCTGATGATTGGATCCAAAAACTTTGGTACATCTACACAATGGAATACTATGCTGCCATAAAAAAGAAGGAATTCTCACCATTTGCAGCAACCTGGATGGAATTGGAGAACATCATGCTGAGTGAAATAAGCCAATCAATGAAAGAGAAACACCACATGACCCCACTCATTTGTGGATAATAAAGATCATTATAAACTGATGAACCAAAAGATAGATATAGAGACAGTAAAGCAACAAGCAGATTGTCAAATTACAACGGGGAGGGGAGGAGGGTCTGGGGGAGATAATAAATCAACCCAAGGACTTGTATACATGCATATAAGTACAACCAATGGACATAAAACTCTGGGGAGGGAGGGGATATGTGGGAGGGAAGTAGGGGGGCAAAAAAAAATCAATAAAATATGTAAAATAAATAAATAAATTAATTAAAAAAATTGGAAGGTTTTCATAGGCAGAAAGAGAGTGGGATTACCAAGTTAAACACTGGATTATTTTATTTTTATTTTTATTTTTTCATTATTTTAAAATATATTTTATTGATTTTTTACAGAAAGGAAGAGAGGGGGATAGAGAGCTAGAAACGTCAATGAGAGAGAAACATCGACCAGCTGCCTCTTGCGCACCCCGTACAGGGGATGTGCCTGCAACCAAGGTACATGCCCTTGACCAGAATCGAACTTGGGACCTTTCAGTCCTCAGACCAACACTCTACCACTGAGCCAAACCGGTTGTGGCAACACTGGATTATTTTAAATAAGGGCACCTACATTTAGGGGAAGGTAGAGGGCATTACCTCACCAGTGCTCATCAGGTAATTCTAAATTGATTGGTTTAAGAGGCTGAAATTTGATTAGTTATTAAGTTTTTGTTAGGTGTCATGGTTTAACAAAAATGACTCATGTTCATGATTTTTCAAGCTTATGATTTTTTGACTTTACAATGGTATGAAAGCAGTATGCATTCAGGAGAAACTGGCTGGGTTAAGCTATGCTGTTAAGTAGTGTTAAAAAGAATGGAGGTGAAAACAGTCTAAAATGGAGTCACTTTTGATAACCATGTGAGTTAACAGATGCATTAATTAGCTTGATTGTTGTGATTGTTTCACAATGCATACATATACTGAATCATGTTGCACACCTTAAATATAAACAATGTATATCTGCTATCATTTAAGTATTTTCAGTTTAGTCCTTTCACACACACACACACACACACACACACACACACACGTGTGAGCACACTCTTAGATACATACTTCCCTTCTTTAGCTGCTGGTGTCTCCATACATTCCTGTTCCCCAATTTGTTTCAAAACATTCAAAAGGGAAAGGGAGGGATGTGAGAATTGTCTTTAGTAAATGACACAAATGTTTCTGCGTCTTGGTCATTGATCCTATAGACTTTTTGTCATGGACCAGTTTATGAAGGTATTAAGGTGTTGGTGCATGTTTATAAACTAGAAAATAAATAACAGGATAGAAAAAAAATCCCACACAAGAACCATAGCACCATCTTCACAGATACCTATAGTTTGGGTTTTTGTTTAAAATATATTTTAATTGATTTCAGAGAGGAAGAGCGATATTAACATCAATGATGAGAGAATCACTGATTGGTTGCCTCCTGAATGCCCCACATGGGGGACTGGCCCACAAGCGGGCATGTGCCCTGACCTGGAATTGAACTGTTGATCTCCTGGTTCATAGATCAATGCTTAACCACTGAGCCATGCTGGCTGGGCTTGAGTTCTTTATTAAAAGAAAAACATGAAAAATCTTTCCAGTTAGAAAGAGTGAATGAGTCTTAATGATCTAGTGTATTCTTAATGCTCTGACTTTCTACTTTGATTCAAAAGTTTGGGAAGAGAAAAAGAAAATTTTTGTATCATAATCTTATTAGACGCAAACATAACAAGGTTGCCAAGTTACACAGACAGAGCTCTCATTTTCCCAGTTCATATTTCCAAATTTTTAATGTTTCCCTCAATAGCTGACTTCTGGGAATACCAAAAAAACAAAACAATTACTTTTAAAAACTCCTTGTGATGAAGTAGAAAAAGTCCTAGATTAGTAGCCAGTTGAAGTAGATATTTTGCTTCAGCTTTTCCACTAACTTCATGTTCTTCAGAAAATCCTTTAACTTTGTGCACCCCTACTATATGTGGGAACATGAGCATCACAGGGGTGTGGTGGTATTAAAATGACATAACTGAGATGGAAGCACCTTAAAATACTTGAAATGCTATATCATACATATAATGACTACATTCCAGAGGATGGGATCTGAGAGAGCTAAGCTAATCAATATTATAAAAGGAAGCAGAAGAGTTTACTGAAAAGTTTATTATAGAAAAGCCAGTCCCAATATAGGTTTATGCCTCCATTTCTCTTTGATGCATTTAAGAGAATGGATTATGTAGAAAAAAAGAAGTATACATAAGCAGAGAAGACAGAGCCTGAGATAGCTCAAATGCATTATTCCTTGCTTTTCATTGAGTAAGTAAAAGATCAACCACGGAGCCATAACCCCTGCAGGGTAGTATCTATCTGTCAAAGTGCACAGGCACCGGGGGGTTACCCTCACAGGCAATGACCACACGCCTAGTGCTGGCCCTGGCCCCATATCTGCAGTTGGGGGCTGGGGAACTTCCTGTATCTCTGCAGTCTGTAACACTCACTACACCCTCATGGCAATTCATCTTGCCATTCTTGCACTCGATATTGGTGGTGCTGCAGATGCTACGAATATTCCAGATGTCTTCGTGGATGAAGGTATTGAATTTCTTGCAATAATTCTGAGTCATCCTCCGTCTTTGCATCATCAAGTTACAGTATTTAACGTCTCCACCTGTCCCAGTAGGATCCACATGTTGCCGCAGGAATCGTTGGTACATAGACTGGCCATAGGAGGGCTGCACCAGCCCCAACCCCAGCAGGGTCAGCAGCAAGAACAGAAGCAATGAAAGAGTCTTCTGGAGAGCCATCACTACCTTGGAGGTGCCTGGGGAGAAACAAAGAAGTAGGAGAAAGGAAGTTAATAAGTGGGCATCAGAAAGAGGTGTTAATGGCAAATTGATATTTCCTCAACTTTAGAGTCTACTCTTTCTTCCCCACTTCTCTGCCCACAACTTTTGTTATCACTGCTTTCCCAAGAGTACAAGATCTTCTCTGAAAGTAAAAGCTTTTCTTTCATAGAGAGACAGTGTAGTACCCAGTACAATGACTCAGACACTGATGGACTGAATGTCCAGGTGTCTCTGTCCTATATGGTCAGGGTGTGAAAAGGAAAAAAAAGGCAGATCTAAATGAAACTGGAGTTGTCTGTCTCTTGAGGCATTTCTCTAGTCATGTGATCTTTGGAGAGTGTTTGGTTCTCTGGAGACTATGATTCCCAAAAGTTTGGATAGACAGGATATGCCAATGAGAGTGCATGAACTGATTTTAATTCCTGACATCTGGGAATTGAGGAAGGCGTAGAAAACAGGATATAATGTTTAGGGTTAGGCTTCCCTTTAATGCGTCTATTTTTCTTAATTAAATTTTTTTTTCAATTACAGTTGACATATAATATTATATTAGTTTCTGGTTTACCACAGAGTGCTTAGACATTTATTTATTTATTTATTTATTTATTTATTTATTTATTTATTTTTTAATATATTTTGTTGATTTTTAATGGAGAGGGAGAGGATGAGAGAGAAACACTGATCAGCTGCCTCCTGTACACATTCCATTGGGGTTGTGCCCACAACCAAGGTACATGCCCTTGACTGAATCTAACTTGGGACCTTTCAGTCCACAGGCCAACGCTCTATCCACTGAGCAAAACTGGTTATGGTTAGACATTTATATATCTTACAAAGTGGTCACTGCAGGAACAGAGAAATCAAGATGGCGGTATAGGTAAACACCTAAACTGCTGTCTCCACAACAATTTCAAAACTACAACTAAAAGACAAAATGTCTATCACCCAGAACCACAGGAAGTTCTACAACTACAAAGAAAGAGAAAAGAGCATTGAGACGTGTAAAAACGCTGAAAAGCTGAGGTATGAAGGCATGCGAATCAGGCTAGCAACAGGCTTCTGGGTGTGCTTATTTTTCAACCAAAAAGGAGACAAGCTCCCAATTACTCTGAGCTCCCAATTACTCTGAACTCTAGTTTCCGGGGAGATGCTGGGGACCCAAACTCCTATAGGGAGAAGCTGGACTGTCTGCCATCGGGTCAGAAAGTGAGGGTAACTTTCTTGCAGAGGTGCACCCAGCAATCATTGTTTACTGTGCTGGGGTGTGGGACACTGGGATTTGGAAATGCATAAATACAGAAAAGGCTGACTGGCAGACATGGCTGTTTTCCACACCTTAGCCTAGTGACTCCCTGAGATACCACCCCACACAATCTATAATACAAACCCACCCAACCTCCATCCAGTGGCTTTTGCATATAAATGGCCTGCCATATTGCAGCTTAACCAAACAAACTGCAGCATTGGTCAGACAGCTCCAAAACCTTCAAATCCCAAGAAAAGTGGAGAAAACTGTAGTTCTTGCTGTAGCTCCTGCTGGGAGATCTCAGACAGTAGCTAACCTGCACCCCATTGGAGATCCAGAAGCTAGTATATATAGTGGTCAGTGTGAGATGACACCAGATTTCAAATACACATATCCTTAAGAGACACATTCAAGAGGCAGACTCAGTGAGCACCAAAGGCCCACTGAAACAAGTTTTGCTCTATAACCGTGTCTCCAGCATAGCAGTTCTTCCAGCATAAACAGCAGGTTCTCACAGCCAATTGGCTTGGAGGTCAATTCCTCCCAGTTATACCAAAAACTATCAAAGCTTAACTACAACAAGACTGTATACACACACACACACACACACACACACACACACACACACACACACACACACATACACACACACACACGCATCTGTGCAGACGGCCCACAAAGAAGTGCACCAAGAGTGCCCACTTCAGTGGGAGGCTGACCCATTGGGCCATATAGGTCACCTAGCATACAATGCCACTTAGGAAAGCAGCAAAAATGCAGAGACAAAGAAACAGATCACAAATGAAAGAAATGGAGGAAAACAAACAACTGGATGTAGAGTTCAAAACTGCAGTTTTAAAGTTTTTCAAGAATTTCCTAGAAAAGTCTGATAAGTTTAATGAGACCCTCGAGGATCTGAAAAAGAACCAACAAGAAATTAAACATACACTGACTGAAATAAAAAATATTATACAGAGAGCCAACAGCAGATCAGAGGATCGAAAGAATCAACTCAAAGATTTGAAATACGAAGAAGCAAAAAACACTCAACCAGGAAAGCAAAAAAAAAAAAAAAAAAAAAAAAAAAAAGAATATAAAAATGTGAAGATAGTGTTAGAAGCCTCTGGGACAACTTCAAGCGAATCAACATCAGTCATATGACAGTGCCAGAGGAAGAGAGAGAGCAAGATACTGAAAACCTATTTGAAGAAATAATGACTGAAAACTTCCCCCTCCTGGTGAAAGAAATAGACTTACAAATCCAGGAAGCACAGAGAACCCCAAACAAAAGGAATCCAAAGACACATCATAATTAAAATGCTAAGGGCAAAAGACAAAGAGAGAATCTTAAAAGCAGCAAGAGAAAAACACTTAATTACCTACAAGGGAGCACCCATACGACTGTCAACTGATTGCTCAACAGAAATTATTCAGGGCGGAAGGGAGTGGCAAAAAATATTCAAAGTGATGAACAGCAAGAACCTATTATACAACCAAGATTACTCTATTTAGCAAAGTTATAATTCAGAATTGAAGGGCAGATAAAGAGCTTCACAGATAAGAAAAAGCTAAGACACCAAACCAGTATTATATGAAATGCTAAAAGGTATTCTTTAAGAAGAGGAAGAAAAAGAAAAAAGTAAAGATAAAAATTATGAACAACAAATATATATTTATAAACAAGTGAATCTAAAAATCAAGTGAATTAGCTGAAACTCTTTTCGCTCAGTGGATAGAACGTCTGCCTGTCCCAGGTTCAATTCCGGTCAAGGGCATGTACCTTGGTTGCGGGCACATCTCCAGTAGGGGGTGTGCAAGAGGCAGCTGATCGATGATTCTCTTTCATTGATGTTTCTAACTCTCTATCCCTCTCTCTTCCTCTTTGTGAAGAAAAAAATCAATAAAATATATTTTAAAATCAAGTGAATTAAAAATGTAATGAACGGAATAAACTGGTGAATATAATAGAATTGGGGCATAGAATGGGAGTGGATTGATAATTCTCAGGGATAAAGGTCTGGGGGTATGGGAAGGGACTGGACAAAAATTGTACACCTATGGATGTGGACAGTAGGAGGGAGGTAAGGGCAGAGGGTGGGGTGGAAACCGAGTGGAGGGGAGCTATGGGGGAAAAAAGGAGAAACAGTTGTAATAATCTGAACAATAAAAACTTATTAAATTTTAAAAAAATGTTCACCCAATAAGCCTAGTACCTATTTGACACCATACATAGTTATTACAATGCTATTGACAATATTCCCTATTCTTACTTGACATCCCCATGGCTATTTTAAAAACTGGACATTTGTATTTCTTAATTACTTGATCTTTTCACTCATGTGGCTATTTTTTTGAAATGTTAATTCTATATAAAAATCTACAAAGTAAAAATTAGAGTATCCAGCTAAAAGGTTGGGAAAATAGTACATATTGGTTGAGTGAACTGATAAACAAAATGAGGGAATTAATGAACAAATGAAATGGAATGTATATAGGGAATGAAGATGTTTGAAGAATTGACTGATAAAAGAAACTTTTAAAATATATCTCAACAGAACAGTCTCCACAAAAGAGAACTTGGACTCTCTTTTTCCCCTGCTGTTTCTATGTATAACCAAAAACTAGACCCTAGTGATATATTCCATCATCATGCATGTATCATTGATGCTATATCTGACTTGTCAATAGCGTTTGCTAGTTTTTTGTCATCTCTAGTTGCAGAATCATTTTCTTGGCACTTTTATTTTTTTTTTGAAAGAGTTGCTTGGGTGGAGCATTTTATTTTATTATTTTATTTTATTTTTTAAAAATATATTTTATTGATTTTTTACAGATAGGAAGAGAGAAGGATAGAGAGTTAGAAACATTGATGAGAGAGAAACATCAATCAGCTCTTTCTTGCACATCTCCCACTGGGGATGTGCCCACAACCAAGGTACATGCCCTCGACTGGAATCAAACCTGGAACCCTTGCTGAAACTGGTTTGGCTCAGTGGAGAGAGTGTCGGTCTGCAGACTGAAAGGTCCCGGGTTCGATTCCGGTCAAGGGCATGTACCTTGGTTGTGGGCACATCCCCGGTAGGGGGTGTACAAGAGGCAGCTGATCGATGACTCTCTCTCATTGATGTTTCTAACTCTCTATCCCTCTCTCTTCCTCTCTGTAAAAAATCAATAAAAAAATAAATAAAATAAAAAACCTGGAACCCTTCAGTTCGCAGGCTGACGCTCTGTCCACTGAGCCAAACTGACCTTGGCTTGGTACTTTTGACAGTGGAAAATAAATATAAGTTGTATAGAGTTTAAGAACAACAGCACAAAAACTAAACAAAAGCCTTCAGAGCCACAACGAAGGAAACATTGACATATATTCTCAGAACATTGCTTCTGTTGGCCAAGGAAAGAAAACCCAGACCTCTCTGGCTCTAAAATCAGTGCTTTTCCCACATTTTCTAGTGCCTCTCTGTTTCCACTCACCAAATATTCAGGATATTCAAGACATTTATGTTCAGACTTGCTTCTCTCTAGCAACAGATTTTAATCAGGGGTGGAATCGGGGAGAAGTGGAAGTAGGAATCGCTCACCAACACCAACTAGCTAGATGCTGCCATCTGATGGTCACTTCTAGCATTGGCATGAACTCATGAACTGTGATTCTCCTTGACCCTGGCAGTGAGGCAGGGCTGACTCACTAGAGCATCAATTTTCAACTTCT